TAAGCACTGTAGTATTATCACCCCGGCGTTAGCTGACGTACACTGATCGAGAAATACCTTCCTACCGGTCACTCATTTACATCACATAGGTGGAGAGCGGCAGTTGTAGATTAATGACTTGCTAAAAGACATTAATGACGCGGCTGGGTTTGAATCGTGAATCATGCGATCCACAGTGCAATGACGTACATGTATCCACTACTAGACCTCTACAATATCGGATATAAGCAGTATAAATAATTTGTTTTATTCCGTCTTATATCGCTTAAAGGTCCCCTCTAATCAAAACGGGCTTAAAATTGAAAAAGAGACATGAAGACAAACAAATTGACGGAGATTCCGAATATGACAATGATTTTTCTTAGAAATCATCAATAATTCTGGAATCTAGCTTTAAAAATGACGACTCAGACCACTAAAAAAAAAAAGGTCCAGTTTTGGAGCTGTATGGCGCAATAGCATATGACGTCACTGCAGGAGACAACATTGGCATTATACACAACATAACATAGCACTTGAATGGAGATATCCTACTATACGTTCTATAACATTCCCAAAATCAACTAAATCTTCATTAATTTTTCAAATAATGGTCACGATTAAAAAGTCGTTATCTTTTGTTTTTTTACCTGTTTCTAAAAACGAAGACATTAGTATAAATGCAATTTCTCAAAGATTTCACGGCAAACCGCTTCACATTACAAGTGCATAACGACGATGGGGTGCGGGTGCACGCGCGTGCGTGAAGTAAACGACTGTAATTTCAGATCCTCATTAAATGTATGCAAGCAATTCACATTATGAATTGATGATGATAATTTACTGTTAGAGGGTGACGCAAAGTGACACCTTTAAAGAAAACCATAGATATCTTCGTCGTTTGAGAATTTTTTCAAGATTTATTACACGTTTGAGGGTTAGTACAGTAAAAGGAATATGATAAGTAACATTTCATACAGAAATTACGCAATTTTTTCATCAACCTTCAACAATGTTTCCGAGTCACGTTATGCGTAGATGTTCTGATCTACTGATGCATATCTGCACAATACGGTACCGCACATACTCTTTCACAATGTGTTTAGTATCTGAGTGTCTGAGAATAAAACTGCATGCTTTACACGGATCGTGACGCCATATGTTAATCCTGGTAGCAATTTTCCTATTAGCATGAGTCCCTCAAAATTACACCCTCCAAGTATAAAAACCAGCTCGTAAGCTTCGCTAAACAAATGATGACTATAACCAATTCCTTCCCCAATCCAGTCTCTTATCTAAGAATTTTTGTTTATAGTGGCTTATTTGAAAACGTGGAGCAATAAATCCTTTTCCACCAACAAAAAGCTAACATGTCTTGACACTTTCAAAAGATCCTTAAAACATACTTTTTGCCTCCGTAATTTAATATGATTACCCTATTTTAAAAATCGAATGTTTCAATCTGACATTTTTGTAAGCTTTCTGGTATTTTCTTTTTTCCTTAGCTCTCCTAAAAAACGAAAATAATATTGTTATTGCAAATATATTGTGTAAATTAATATTCATTTGATGATGACTATATTATATAAATAGACACTGTATTTAAAATACAATATCTTAGAGTGTTCTTGTCTGCCTACAGCTCCTATCATTGCTGCCCTCTATCGTCACCATTCGACTCGTCGTCTGCTTTTGATATCTGGTACATGTCTCCCTCCAATAGGCGTGGCTTTGACATCCATGGCAACCAGCAACGCTCAAATGTCAATCTATCTTTCAATAACAGGTAAGAAACTATTCGAATAAGAACTATATATTATAACAGTATCTTGTACAAGTATAGGTGGTATGTACACATTTGAAGATAAAAATATGGCACTGTATTATGTGTCATTTTGCTAACTGTCTTGATGTCAGAATAAAACTAACTTTTTTCTTTTGCAGTACAATGTAGCACATCAGTGTTTGTTCCATAGAATAGTTAGATACACAAATCGCGGTCATAAATAAAAAGCACCAAAATAGTGATGAGGCAAATTTTGACATGTACATTCACTTCTAAAATTTGACGATGATTGTCTAAATGAGGGGTTATTATTACGATCCTTGTAACGTGGATTCTCGACTATAACATATCAAAAAGTGAAAGAAAATTGAGTAGAAACAAGCGAAACACTGTCCAAAGAAAATTTAGGAAATGACGTCATTAATTAAAAATTTAAAAATCTTACTTTAAATTCCAACATGATGACGTCTTAACCTCTGTGAATCAAAAATGCATGAAATTAAATTTACACTTCAAGCTCTTTGAATTGGATTGAATTGAATTTATTTTCTTCTTCAGCATATAAACGAAATTACATTTCTGGAAAAACATCATACAAAAATATACCAATTCTTTTGAAAGTATATACAATATGATAATTATAAATGATAGCATTCAAACACAATACGAAGAATTATTCATTAACAAATCTGCATTAGAAGAAGAAGGACTATTACAATAAACGATTTCTTGATAGCGTTATAGCGTGAAATGAAGAATGATTAAAAAATTATATAAACAAATATTTAGAAATGGCAATGATGATGATGGGGATGACAGTGATGATAATGATGGAGATGATAATGAGGATGACGAAAATGAAAAAGAAAATATGCTGATGTAAATATGTCTCACACAAAAATAAGTATATGGGAGTTATATATAATAAAATAGTGATGGATGTTTTATAGAAATGTAGAAATAATATTAAATATTAATTCAGCACTGGGAAAAGACCAAACAATGTAATTTGACAGAATTCTTTCTTCGTTTTACATTTAAATGAATTAAGGGTAATACGAGATTTAATCGAGTCTAATATATTGAGTCTAATTTTGATAGTATGTCCTTTCATACATACTATTACCCAATATCCACTATAACAATGATGACAATATTAATGATCATTATGATGATAAGGAATAAATGAGAATCCTCCTCCTCATCATCATTTTTACAGCATACATATGTTTATTGCCCGAGTTAAACTGAATTCTTTGTAAATATACGAATACATGGAATAGTAATATACTGATCGTGTTTGATAGTGCGTATAAACTGTAAATATTACGTGCATTGATTTTTTAATCATTTGACGCACGAAATGAGCTATTGCTCATGCAAAATGTTTGTTATTTTCTGGTAATTTAGACGCAGCGGTCCTATAGCGAAATGCTTGCAGTACTGCAAAACAAGAAAACTAGAATTTTGATACATTATTATATATCTTCTCTGAAACGTGGCATAGGTGAATTGCTTTCTCGTTCATCTAATTAAGTGATTATGCAATTTGTTAAGATATAACAATTGTATATAAATGACACCACATGTTTTCTTTTTATGTTAAACAGGTCTTGGATTTTGTATGGTTAATATATGTTGTAACATGACATTGCACCGTGTAGCTAAGGAGAATTACAACCTACTTTTCAGCCTTGGTTTTACTGGAACTGGCGTTGGAATGGTTCTGTTTCCGCTCTTAGCTGAATCATTTAGTGAAGCTTACGATTGGAGAGGTGGACTGCTCATCATAAGCGCACTGATGGCACACATTATCCCAGTTGGCATGGCAATTAAGTCGAAATCAGATGAGAGTAGCACACAGAGAAATGGTTTCCAGAGTGTCCCAAGTTCGCCACCAGGGTGTAACAAGGAAGAAGAAAGCAACAGCAGCACAAGTCAGGACACAGAAGGTGAGTTCAACCGGAAACTCTTATTAGACTGACATTTTCGGTCTCGTCACTGTTAATATGACGGACAAAGAAAGAGGACAAAATATACGGTTCCTATTCTACCCTCAACAATTGCTGTGGTAGACAAAGGAACATCCCTTCACTGCTATAGGGTAAAAATGTGTAGAACAGGTGTAACATGCATATTCACCTGTTCTACTTAATTTAAATAATAGCAGTGAAGGGATGTTCCTTTGTCTACCACAGCAATTGTTGAGGGTAGAATAGGAACCGTAAGTTTTGTCCTCTTTCTTTGTCCGTCATGTTCACAGTGCGTGAACCTTCAACAAGATGTAAGAAGGCCAAGAACAGTACGTCAGTCTTGTGGCCATTACGGCGAAATACCCGCTCATCATCATCCATCTGGCTCACTCAGTGTCTCTCTAAGAAACGTGCTAGAGAATTGTCTTTCCCATCGGTTGCTGCAAAACTGTGGAACCAGCTACCTACTACTGTGCAGGCGGCCTCATCTACTGACCAATGCAAGAAATTACTCAAGTCACATTTATTCTGCTAGAAATTACTTTATTACCAGCCTACATAATATACTTAACTGATCTCTGAGAGGTGACTTACTTCTGTTTATAACATTGTGGAGCGGTGTGTGCAGCGCTTTGTACGGCAAGGAAAAGGCGCTATATCAAATATCTTTTGGATTGAATGGGATCGTTTATTTTTGTATTATTTCATATATAATCCTTATCATGAAAATAATGAGAGACCTACATGTACCATGTTTATTGTGGGATGTAAAAGTTAATATCATTCAAGATTTATTTTTGACATTAAACTTCTTTTCTTTTTAACTTTTTATTTAACTCTTCTTCTTTGAAGTTAAAAACAGTGACGACAGCGGAGTTTTTCGTAGGATCACCAACAGTCTCCGCCAATCTGATTTGTACGTGGATCCTATATTTAATGTCGTATTTGGTGTTACTTTTGCGTCGCATATGGTTTGGAGTGGTTGGCACTCCTTTCTTGTACCGCATGCTCTGCAGAGAGGGATCTCTGTCCGGAACACCATTATCATCACTTTCTCAGCTGCAATAGGGAATACCTTCAGCAGGGTTGCTGTTGGTTTCCTTACCAACAGCCTTGTCAAACCTGTCACCCTCTATCTCTTTGCTACAACCTTGAACATCGCCGCTCTTCTTTGCGATGTGTATTTCGTCAACTTCTACGCCATGTTGGTGACGACATGTATCTCCGCAATGGCAGTAGGAGGAAAGGCGGTGTTGGGACAGCTCGTTTTGAGGGATAGAGCGTCTTCCCAAAAGTATGATGTCGCGTATGCAGTCGACCAACTTTTTATCGGATTTGGGATGTTTGTTGGTGGCTATTTAAGTGGTAAGAAATCACTAAAAAAACATATTGTAAATGAGCAATTAAACAAGCATCCTTTTAAAATAGCTTGAAAGGTTAAAATCTGATTTACAATCTTAATTACAGCAACAAAAAAAAGAAGATTTGACAAGATTAATTTCTCCCGGAGATTCTCACCCTTGATTTTAAATGAAATTAATAAAACACTATTATGAACTGAATAGTTCTAACTGCTTACAGAAACTTATAATTGTTATTAATTGCCAGGACGAAAGAAAAGGAATAAGGAATGTGAAATTTAGTAGGTTTGAGGTACAGTTTGCTACCAGTTATTAAAAGATAGTGTGCGTTGCTGGTAGCCATGGATATCAAGACCATGCCCATTGGCGGGAAACGTACCAGATATCAAACGCAAACGAGAAAGAGAATGGCGGCGATAGAGGGCTGATGTGCGCAGACAAACATAACATTGGGGTTATAAGAATATATAGGCCTACATCAGTGTCTATTTATATCGAATAGTCATCATGAAATGAATAAACACTTACACAATATCTGTCATGAAAAGAATTTTCACAAGTGACTGGTCCATTGCGAACCAAGTGATTAAAGGGCCTCGTGCTAATTTGGTAAAACTAGATTGGATTGAATAATGCATCTTTCTAAAAAAAGAATAACACTCCGCGAAGGATTTAATGAGATAACACAGTGAGTGAAATAAGGAAAAACTAGTGGCTGATCATATGACTGTAATTTAATGAATTCATGCACGGACTCATATTCAGATCAACATGGTGTATTCAAAATTCCTTTTTTGTTTTTTTCAGGCATGATTGCGGATCACTTCTCATCCTACAACGCAACGTTTAAACTATTAGCTTTCATCGACGTCATCGTTCTCCTCCTCATGGTGGTCGTGAGATGCAGACCAAAAGCAAACCCCGTCTGAACATGCAGTATCGGAAGCGTTAAAGATTTTTGCTCCGTTTTGTATTTAAAAAATTTGTTTGTCTTCATAAACAAATTTTAAGCATATCATTAAAAAAAGGTAATCAACTGAAATATACTTTAATTTTTTTTTAGAACATAGTATTACATACATTTTCAACATACAGCGTATATAATTTCCGAAAAAAGAAAATTGCTTCTCAGTCTGAAGTTTAAAGAGAAGGTCGAGTTCTGGGGAGAGGTGAAATGTGATTCGTGAACGTTATCATTTTTATTATGCGAGTGTCAAAGAACCTCAGAGAAAAATGTTCGACTGAAAAGCCTGGCTCTTTGAATGCCTTCATATTCTAAATATAACAAGTATCAGCTTAAAAATGAGGTCCGATATTTTATGCCGCATGTCTGCGTAGTCCCATATACATCTTTCTGTGCAAAGTACTTGTTACTTTACCAAGACTGTGCTTAATTTCTTATCATTTTGATGACTCTAGAACCTTGCAGTACACACCAATACTTATATGATCAACTTTTTCTGATCAATTCCACACGGGAAGATATAGAAGACCAGAAAAAACGCCCCGAATCTACAGTTCTGTTAAGACTGCAATATTAATCTAGTATGAGAAGGTGACAAATATACAGATTTAAGAGTAGTTTTTCTTAAAAATATTTTAGCAATTCGGAAGAAAATTTAGTAATTTGGAATACAATACAATACAATACAATGAACATTTAGGGCGCCATTCCCATAAGGCTCAGAGCGCTAACATCAAATAATATTATTGGTCTTTACTACATATAGTAATTAAAGGCTACAAGTAGATATTCCATATAAAATATTAAATTCAATTGATTAAATTAAATAATTAAACATAAAAGAGAATTCATGTAAAGAGATGAGTTTTCAGAGCCTTCTTAAAAATATCTATAGAGGCAGATTGTCTGATGGACATGGGGAGATTATTCCACCCTTTGGATGCTGCTACCGTGAAAGTCCTATCCCCGGCTTGGACACGTGTAATTGGATAATTTAGACGGAGGTTATCATTTGAAGATCTGAGATTTCTGCTTGGTGTATATAAAGTTAAACAATTAGACAGGTAATTAGGAGCTAGGTGGTGCAATGATTTATAGACATATAAGAGTAACTTACAAATGATTCGCTGTTGAATTGGAAGCCAGTGAAGGGAATTAATTAATGGTTGAGCTGAATGACTTCTACCGACCTCAAACACAAGACGTGCTGCCCAGTTTTGTAGGCGCTGGAGACGGTTTACATGTAACTTTGGAAGAGAGGAAAGAAGTCCATTACAATAATTAAGTCTAGAGAGAATTAAAGACCTTACAGCATGATGACAAGTTGATTGATCAATATATCTACGAATTCGTGATATGTTCCTTAAGTGAAAAGTGACCGTTCTACTAACATTGTTAATATGTGAATTCATACTCATATGAACATCAAAGAATGCGCCCAAGTTTTTAATTGTGTCTGTAGGTTTTACGGAAATATTTCCTATGGTGAGAGTTATGTCTGGCAATTTTCTGAAAATGTCAAGTAAAATTCATATTTATAATGGGATTAGTCAATAAAGATATAATATATTTTCTCTTCGTTCACCACAAATATAATTGCAGTGAGGGATAACTTTTAGATACTACTTAATAACAAAGTAAGAATTTAAAATCTTACTTTTGTTGGTTGAATTTTTACAGTAGGTCGAATATAATTATGTATAAGTATTATTACGTCACTTATTTTAGGCGTGCCATGTAACTCATACCTATTTTGTATAGCATGAGTGGTAATTTATTTAGAAAATTGCTATATTAGATTTTATATATCTAAATCTTCGGACGTATTATGGTACATTATATTACTTACTTTATGCATTACGTGTCATGTTATTACAAGAAGAAATAAAAAAGGGTTTTTCCACTGTATATAACTTGCCTTCTGTTTTGCTATATACACTGTATTTTAAATTGATTTATATGATATATATGTTAACAAACAGAATATTGATTTGTTACATTGCATTGTAAATTGATGTTTATGTTTATGCACCGATTATTGATGTACATCGATGGAGTTTAATGAATACAATATAATACAATACAACACACGTTAAGAACGCACTGCACTATTCGTATAAGCATGGACCTATTACGGATGGACATTGAACGTGATTTTTTCTTTGATCCAATGATAGTCACCGCCTTCTGATTATATGCATATTAATGAGAAAATTCAGCTATTTTAACAATAACGACTGCGTAAGCATTTTCGGGCATTGACAAAGGAGCAGCTTCCCTCTCTTGGGTTTTGTTTGGATGGTATGCTCTGTAAGAGTATGTCTTCAATAAAAACATCCCCAATGGGGAGCAGCAAAGTTGAAAAGCAGGCGATTTTGGTGATATGAAATTTATTATTACTGATTAGCACACTTTTGCACGCACCAATGACCTTATAATACAATTAGAAGGCCATTATCTTTATACGCCCTGTGCGTTTTAATTCTGGAATATTATAAGGAAATTGGGGAAAACAGGATTTTAAACCACAAACAATCCAAACGAAACCTATCTGGTAATATCAACATGTTTTTTAAAAATAGAACACAGCACACGGAACAACAATTTCCAATTATTAACCAGAACTGCACATCGATTTCCAATGATTTCGATTTATTATCTTCTGCGCATGTAGATTAACATGTTTAAAATCACTATCATGATTCTGTCCCGGTTTATTGGCGGTGACCATCATGAGATCAAAGTGAAGAAACATGTACGGAATGTTATTGAGACGACATTGACGGAGACAATCACAATGAATTCGTTAAAGGTACTATGTCTCTTTTGCAGGCCAACAAAATGAAAAGGTTAAATTCCAATGGCATTTGAAAGATAATACTAATTTAGAACTCCCCTAAAAAAAAATGGGGCTTGAAAATGTCTTTAAGTTGGAAATAACGACTTTTAGTTGTCAAATCGACTTAGGAGCTATAGAGCCATTGTGCCGCATGGTCGTACGTTTTATACTGCGCAAACATTCAATCAGTTTAATTTTGACCATTACAAGAAGTGGGTTATTGATGTAGACAAATCCTTTGCAGCTCATTTTATGTATGTTATTACCAAAGAAAAAGAAAAAGCCAGTCAGTCACTCACTCAATACTGACAATAGTGTCTGACAGTGAAGTCTAGCAAGTAAACGGGTTTCCTTGCATAATTTGAATATTAGGACACTGCTAACGTTTAAATTTCACAGATAGGACATACATGACATATTCGTAATTCCTGCAAAGTTTTTCATAATTTGAGGTTGACTGCAAAAGGGACATAGTATCTTTAAGAAAACGATGAACGTCCATCCGTAATAGGTCCATAGTATAAGACAAGGAGGAAAGCATAGTGAAGTGAACCACCCGTACGCCCTTCCTAACGTTATACCAGTAGTCAATACTCAGTGTTTCAGTTCAATGTCGCCCTCTCCTCACAGGTTACGCGAAATATATAACTATGGCACAACAACGACTACAGTAATAATAATGATAATAATAGTACACTACTTCAGTGAGATATTTTGTATGATGTTTGACTATTAAGAGGGATCCACTTGAGCAATTTCAATAAAAAAGATTGGGGATTGATGCCAATATTCTTGTATACAATTATATAATATTAACTGGCCTTGAGGGAGATACCAATTATATTGCCCGAACAAGACTCATATTGCCCCGAGTCATAGACGAGGGCAATATGGGTCTTGTGAGGGCAATATATGTGGTATCTCCCGAAAGTTAAGCCAGTCAATATTTTGATTGTTATCCAAATCAGATATCTTGAGCAAATACATAAATCAACCATGACAATCTCAAAGAACTGAACAAACTTTGTCGAGACTAGACTATACTATACTTTCACTCGTCTCTACACGCAAAGTCTATACGGGCAGGGAGACCAAGGAAAATACAAAGAATATAACGCTCCGTTCCCACTGCTAGTGAAAACTAGGGCAATACGGTTTTATTAAAAATAAATAAAAAAAAGTCAAAAGGGGAGGGTTTTCCCAAAAAACATACACATAACAAAAAAACTCACACATAACCCCCCCCCCCCCCCCCCCTGCGTACGCGCCTGAACCGCACCAAGCATTTTGTAGTTCCGACTGGACTATAGAGTTCTGGCATTCATTCTGCGAGTCTTTTTTTTTTATGTCGCTGTTTGTTCTAGACATTTTTGCAAATATGTCTGGATTGTAGATGAAGAGAAACGAAACTTTTGTATTATTGTTGGGTTCTAACGCGGATAAAGATGTAATAGTTCCAATTGATAGGATAGTAATACAATATAGAATAGGTTTGTCGTTTGCTAAAAGAAACTACATGTATTCAGGCAAAGCTATGTACTACTGTTCAACCGCACCAAGCATGCCAATTGAACTAGAAGTTTGTAGTTTTTGAAGAGAGATTTGAAGAGAGATTTGAATTGAATTTGAATTTGAATTTATTAACAACAACACATCACAATAATGACAGTACATATGAACAATCATACAATGCAAAAAATAATACTGATACATGTACATGTAGATATAACATAAGAGTAATGTTGATTAAACAGTAATGGTTTAAATACGATATTTAGACATACATCTGCATACTAGTACGTAGATATGTTTATTACTATATTTAGGTGAAGTTGTTAATGGGAACTAGAAGTTAGCACAAGTGCTAGTCGAGCCTAGTTCCATTCTTTGGCAAGATTTTTTTTCTGTTAATTTGTTTATACATATGAATGTAAAACTTGTTTGTTTTGTATTTACATATATACAACAAAATAATACAGTTTATGTAACTTTTGTACATACTAAAATGAAAAAAGAAAAAGAAAATAGTTTTAGTGTTAAAGCATTATAATGAAAGAAGACAAATCTGGACTATGGTAAACAGATACTTATAAAGTTCTGGAATTCATTCTGCGTTTTTTTTT